GAATCTCAACATTTTTGAATCACAAATATAATGAAGTTTACTGAAGTTAGTCCAATTGACTTTTTTTTTTTGTTCTACAGGGGTCATAAAGGTTTACAGGAGTCCCAGTCTGTGATTTATTATTTCCTGTTTTGTGGTTTTCAGTCACATGATAACAAAATGACTTCCTGCATGTTGGGTACACCACACTTTTTTTTTGTTTTTCATTGTTGCAAAACATTTTTCAAATACTAATTTTTTTTTTTTACTTTTTCAGAATCTCTTGATAGTTGTACCTCCTTGTCTGTTTCTTTTTTCACTTTAAGGCACTTTTGGCATTAAGATGTGTTTTGGTCGATCGGATCACAAGTGGACGATGCTAAATACAGGTGTAAACTGGGTCTAAAACGTTTTGAGCTTGTCCACTTTTGACCACTTCCAGAGGTAGTCGAAAACACATCAGTCCGGATTGCTTTCGTAGTGTAAACTCTCATGTGGTTGAATGTGTTCGATCGGCCACAAAAGCTGCTGCTCTCCGGGCGCGTTCATATGTAAAGTCAATGAGCTTATATCTTTCATTAGATCGAAATATCTGAAAAAAAAAAACCATACATTTACCCGCCCATAGACCCTCCCCTCGAATAAATCAAGACATAAGTGGTTGAAAGTTAATTCCAGGTGTAAACATGGCCTCTATCACAAAAAATTAAGTCACAAAACTATAAAAATGTATGGAATAAATTTAGAAATTGAGGTGCATTCAACTAAATGTATGAAATTTTGAGTGCGTTTTTGAATAACTAGTGACAATACATTCAACTGACTTGTAACTATTTATTGTTGAACTTCCTCCTCAGGATGTGAAGAATGAGCTCATTAGGATGGTGGAGCAGGCCGGTTTCACAGCCTCCAAACCCAGCAGGACTCCTCGCCCTCGGCCCAGCGCCGAACCCAAAGCCCTCGGCTCGCTCTCCAAGCAGGACGTGTCTGTTCTCAATGCCGTGCTGACGGCGGGTCTGTACGACAGCGTGGGCCGTATCCTCTACACCCCCTCTGTGGACGTTCAGGACCGGGTGGTGTGTGTGGTGGAGACGGCTCAGGGGAAGGCCCATGTTCACCCCTCCTCCGTCAACCGCTTCCTACAGACCCACGGTTGGCTGCTCTTCCAGGAGAAGGTGTGTTGGGCTAGCTTTAGTATATGACTTGTGGCATTGTGTGTGTGTTTTTATTTTAATCCATCTCATGTTCGTCACATTCTAGTAAACTGGTACTCTGTGGAAGTTTTTTATTATTTGGCAATTAAAATTATAGGTGAAGCAAGAAATACTATTAGCATTGCTTATTTAACTAATGTGAACTAACCGCTAACCCACAATACTACACTTCTGATTCGTCCCGCACAGTTTGTGCTACAGAGATGGGTAAGATGGACCGGTCATTTGCTCTTTTTTTTCGGTCTATCTATTAATTTAATAATTTATATGAGAATACATTCAAATGCTACTCATACACTACTGTTTAAAGGATTGGGGTCAGTTTTTGAAATAAGTCTCTTATGCTCACCAAAGCTGCATTTATTTAATCAAAAATACAGTAAAAATTATTATTATTGCTAAATTTTCTATTGTAATTTGGGCTGAGCAACGATTAATCGTGATTAATCACATCCAAAATGAAAGTTTGTGTTTACATAATATATGTGTGTGTAGTGTGTATAATTATTTTGTATATATAAATTCACATGCATGCATTTTTTAAAGAAATATTTGCATGTATATACTTTATAGATATTTATACATAATTAAAATTCTATATAAATATAAATATTTGATATAGCAATAACACATTTTTCTTAAATATATACATGCATGTTTGTGTATGTGTGTGTATATATATATATATATATATATATATATATATATATATACACACACACAAAATAATTATACACACTACAAACACATATATTATGTAAATTAATCATGATTAATCATTGCCCTGCCCTAATTGTAGTGTATTTTGAATTGTAATTTATTCCTGTGATGAAAAGTTAAATTTTCAACATCGTTATTCCAGTCTTCAGTGTCGCATGGTCCTTCAGAAATTATTATAATATGATAATTTGCAAAAACGTCCACAAAATCATGTGGTGTGACCAACATGCTGAGAAAAAAACATACTTATTTTATAACAAGATGGTGCAGCGACTCAAAAACAATTATATTTCTGGATTTATTAAAGGTGTAATAAATACTTGTACCTTGAAATTTTTATTTTAAAACAGTTTTGAAATAAAATGGTGTTTTTTGAAACATTTCTAAAAAAAAGTTCACATGAAAATCATATGAAACCTACATAAATACAAATAGTACATTTCAAAGAACTTTTCACCTGCTTTTCCTTTCTTTTTAAATGACTTTTCCTTTTCATTATTATTGACACTCTTATATGTTGGACCCTTATCATTTGTACATTTGTGTATTTGAACCACTAGTTTCTCATTTTGCCTACAGGTGAAATACTCTAAAGTGTTTCTAAGAGACACTACTTTGATCTGTCCTTTATCATTGCTGCTGTTTGGAGGTGATATTGATGTTCAACACAGGGAGAGGCTCATCTCTCTGGATGGATGGATCTACTTCCAGGTCAGGGAAAGGTTTTGCATGCATGTCCTGTTTTATTGGAAATCCATGCTTGGCTGGTTACCTGCTTTGCATTGATCACCTCATTTGGAGGAGCACTGAGGCATCACAAAATGGTTTGTCAAACTGTGAGATAACTCTGTTATCTGTTATTCAGGCTCCAGTCAGAATTGGTGTGATCTTCAAACACCTTCGCAAACTGATGGACTCCCTCCTGGAGAGGAAATTGGCCAACCCAAAAATGAATTTGGAAGGTAACTTTAACCGTACAACTAACTGGTTATTAAATGAATGAATCATTATATGTATAGTCCGTCAGTATTTATGTTTTGTGAACGGCCTTTATTTTTATCCTCTTCAGATGAGAAGACCATACAGATCATCACAGAACTGATCAAGTCTGAAAACATGCCCTGAGGAAGTGCCTGTTTGTATTCAGCCATGAATTGACTATGAATTAAATGTTGACAAACCTCACCGAGGGGTGAGACTGTAAATTATATTGCCAAACTATAAAAAATATTTTAAGACAAACACAATATTTGTGGTATTCTTCAAATCCATTATAATAGACTGACTTGGTTGTGTTTTTACTATAAGCCTGTAGGAATGCAGACGAACCGATCTTGTGGTGATAATGTTATTGGTTTGTTATTGAGAGATGTGAATGCAATATCAAGTTATGTGTGAAGTGGTTAAGATTCATGTCTCAAGTCTGACCATAGTTATCTCAAATAATAGACATTAAAGCTTAACTTGGGTAATGTCACTGACAGTGGACTTTAAGGATGGATCTTTCAAAAATCTAATCATATCATTCAGAAGAAAAAAGGGTGGTGCCCCTAAATGGACAGTGTGACTGGGGAAAAAATAGGAGATGGGAGGAAAAATAATAAGTCAATGCTTTTGCATTCTCTCGCAAAACATTTTGCATTCTTCTGAGAAACTTTGTTTTCTCTCGCAAATTCTTTGCGTCTCCCCTAAGACCTTTAAGTTCCCTTGAGAAACTTTATGTTCGCTAGCAAAACCTTTACGCTCCCCTGAGAAACTTTACGTTCACTAGCAAAACCTTTACGTTCCCTTGAGAAACTTTACGTTCGCTAGCAAAACCTTTACGTTCCCCTGAGAAACTTTACATTCGCTAACAAAACCTTTACGTTCCTCTGAGAAACTTTTTGTTCGCTAGCAAAACCTTTTCGTTCCCCTGAGAAACTTTACGTTCGCTAGCCAAACCTTTTTCGTTCCCCTGAGAAACTTAACATTCGCTATAGCAAAACCTTTACTTTCCCCTGAGAAACTTTATGTTCGCTAGCAAAACCTTTACGTTCCCCTGAGAAAATTGAGTTACATGCTTTCAGGCTCCACATTAACATCCGTCTGCTTTAAAAGCCTATAAAATATGAATAATAGTTACATTAGTGCACTTCCTGACAACCCCATGAAGGCAAGGCAAGATTATTTATAGAGCACATTTCATACACTATGCTAATTCAAAGTGCTTTGCTCAGAAAGGAATTAAAATAATCACAGAATAAAACAAGGGGAGAAAACGTTTAGTTACAGGAATTAAAAAAGATATAAAGATGATCTTGAGATATAAAGATGATCCGCACCCCAAATATTTGTTCGGAGGCTCTAGGACTGACTGCAGTCTGCACCCCTCAGAACATATTTTAAACAGTCAGTACAGTACTCATTCAGTAAATGCCAAACAGATGTGTTTTGAGCTGGATTTGAATGTGACTATTAAAGGAGCACATCTGATCTCCTCTGGTTCCGGCATAATAGCTAAAAGCAGACTGGACCATGATTAATGTGAACCCTATTTCTAGCTGATGTGATCCTAATGATCTGAGTGATCTGTTTATAATAAACAACATCATTTCCAACAGGGAAGATAGATCTTGAACTATGTGTTAATTCAGTGTTTCCCACTAGAATAGAATAGAATAAAATTAAGCCCCTCTCAACAGTGTTGTTATTTTTAACTAAAACTAAAAATCATTTTTTGGTAATTGAAATAAATCTTAAACTAAAACAAAATATTAGATGAAAAACTTGGTGATAGTAAAGGTGGTGTAGAAGGTGATATAAAAACTATAGTATCACCTTGTCATGGTTACATAGAATTGACCACATAACTGGAAAGGACAGGTGGAAACTGTTGCAATGTAAAATTTTGGAATATTAGAACATTTAGAGAAAACAATATGCACCCTAAAACTTTATTATCTTCTAAATTGTAGGCTACTAAGAACTCGTAGTTTCTAAACAGAAACAGCTTTGGACTCCTCATGAAGTGTTAATGTTGATGTGAAAGATTCCAACGCATACAAGAGCATGCAGCGCACAAGGAGCTTCGGTTGCCGCTGAAGCGCGCTCTGAAGCGCGCGGAGTCTCGAGGCACGCGACGCGTCGCTACAAACGCGCACTTGACGACAACGGTCGCGCGGTGATGCCACTCCAGGTCTGACAGAAACACTGCACATAGCCTAATACATGCTCACTCGCATCACTCCACCATGACCATGAAGACCTGCTTCTACACTCAGCGGTCTTATTTTATGGTAGGATTATTACAGTACGACGAATGAAAAAGGCATACGAATTTGCATGAGAGTCACTTTATGACATTTTATCAGCAGGATAATGGAGCAAGCCCAGACATCCAGTCACCTAATGTTGATTTGTTTGATTTTGCCACAGGTGAGAAGTAGCCTATAGACCTGAGAAAATGACAAAGCAATTCACCTGAAAACTGAAAATATGTCATTGTGTTCTGTAATTGGCCAATATTGTTGTAAATATATAGTAGCTGGTATTATTCTACAACCTATATTTTTGTAAAAAATAAAAACTGAATACAAAACACTGTTTGTTTTTTCCTCCACAGGCGAGTGTCAGTCACCTGCCACACATGAAGTGTCGGAACACACTCTTGAGCTCAATCGACAGGTGGGTGTGTGAGACAGTCTGTGTTTCTTTAATTATTCCTTGCCTCCTTTTCGTCTCCAGTTTTGGGCTTTTCCTCTACCCAAACTTTATTCCCCTGTTAATATATCGTGTTAAAATCATCCCTTTTTTGCACTAATTTGCACTTTTTCATATTTTCCATTCATTTTGGTCAAGAACCCTATCGAGCATTGTATTTCTTGCCCTTAATCTGAGAAAAAAAGTTAATTTCTGTGAAAAAGCCTGTAAAGTTTAAAATAGTTTATGTGTGTGTCTCTGTGTTCAGTAGCACGGGTGTATCCATTCCACGCCTGCACAGGTCCGAGGCCTTTATATTTGCAAGCACACATATTACATGTAAACGTGATGTTGAACAGGCTCCTGAACACTTAATGTTTATCTTATTTTCTATCTCCCCCATTTATTTTCAATAGATGTTCAGTTTTGACCAATAAGCTCAGATCAATGAGGCTTACAATCAGTCAATTAAAAAAAAATGTCCTAACTGAAAGAAAACAAGTTGAATAACGAGAGATAAGCTATTTTTTGTTGGCCATTTATTTTTAAGTGTAACAATAATGGGAAAAATGATCAGATCTTTATTCCGAGAAATGTGATAAATATAAATGAAGATATATGTAGGATGTTTCTCTTTTAGTCAAAAATGCCCCTAACTGAAGAATCACCAAAATATCACACTTCATGAGCTCATTGCCAGGAAAGTGACTACTACTGTAGCCTACATGTACTGTTTCACTCCTCGGATCGACCAATGAAACAATTGATACTGAAACTGCATGTCTTTTCTAAACAATCTTTTGTGGTTTATTCTTTGTCACAGTTGTGAAAGTATGGAAAATTGTTGGGTTTGAGAAATTGACCAAAGTTGCAAACACTAAAGTAACTGGAATTAAATAGCTTAATGTTGTGTGAAAAAAAAAACACCTTTTTGACCCCTTCGATAAATGTCGGTCACAAATGTAACCGTGGGATCAAATCTTTTTCGAGAACCAGCGAACAGCAGAGTCATGAGAATATATGCTGCAGTTGCCGATTTCCTCTAGATAAAATGTGACATAACTGCAAGTTCACTTCCCTATTTTGTGTGTTTCTCAAATCTCCTCACTGCAAGAGTCATTCAGGCCACACTTTTGTCAGTCCATCCTTATATTTGTAATCCAAATAACTGGGTAATAATTTTCATAGTTTCCTATATGAAAATTCCTGCCTGTGACAATGATTCTTCACTTCTTCATGTATGCAAACTGAATGACTCTGAATGAGCTCATTCTGTGCGTGATGTTTTGACAGCACATGTTTGACCAGATCACATCATCTATGATGTCTCCATACCAGCACTCACATACTTCTCTAATTGTATTACTGAGTAATAATGTGTCTCTGTCTACAGCTTCATGCCACTCTCAGGAGAAAACAAGAGGAAATATCCACCCTGAAGGAGACGAATGCCCAGCTGAGAAGTCTTGCTAAACAGACTGAGCATTACGCTATATTACTAGATGTAAAGTATCATTTTTTTATATAAATATGAGTATAAATCAGAGTTCCTTATGATTGTGACAATCACAATTTTGAAGTCAACATATTTACTTTTTTTACTGCACAAACTTGGCTTTATTGTGAACATTGAATCTGTTCATGTTATTCCAAAGAAAAATCAGTCCATCCACTACCAACACCATCCAATCAATTCCTGATTAATAAAATGAATCTGTTGAACCATTTTCTAATTTAAAATCCTGTTTCACCAAGACATACATCAGATTTGGAAGTAAAATGCACTGTGAACTTTTGATCCTGGAACAAACAACATTCCTGTCCAAAAACATTGTGCTAACCATATCCTTACCCCAACTCATAATTTATCCTTAAAGGACGAAGCAGTCGAACCACGGACGCTTGAGACTTTTTCCAAAGATGGCTCCTGCCTGTATTCATGAAATGGACTGTCTTTATAAAATATCTTCTAATTAAACGGTCTGTACACTTACAACGTTCTCAATGCTTCGGTTTACATGTAGAGACCCTGATTATGCTACCGTGTTAGTGTTGGGCAATTTTGAGCCTTGTTAGTGGTATTAACTAGCGATTTTTATTCTCATTTCTCTATGCCCTAAATACTAGCGTTATAAGCTAAACAGTTTTTAGAGATAAAACTCTTTACATTCGATAATCATGAAAACGAATTTCAGAGAACGGTTGAATATGTACCAATGTGTAATTAGACCAAAGGTTCATTTTGCGCCGCGCCGGAGTTGTCCTTTAAAATCAGAGGAAAACGATAATTGAATAAGAATGGCGTAGAAGCCCCCAACCCTTGTTGTAAGCTGTAACTTGACATTAACTAAAAAACTATCACTCAGATCTGTCTGAAGGTCTTGAAAGTTGTTCTACTTGGTGAAATCACGTTAACCACAAATGACCGTTTGTCATTTCCACTTCCTGTCTACTAGATCTTGACAACTTCGTTCCAGAGAGACTCTGTGTCACAATGTACACCTGTGAGCTCAACAGAGGATCATTCTTCTGAACACTCCTGGATCTCTCTGCTCACACAGGAAGAGCCATCGGATCCATCTTCCACAGCTCTAACTAACTCCACCTCTACTGACACACAAAGCCCAACATCAGGGGTCAAGGGGCAGCTGTGGTCCAGCTGGAATGAGCTTCTCAGTGAAGGACTTTTCTGTGAGGACACCAGCTTGAATTGTCCGTCAGGATCCAAGCAGCTCAGACTTGATAATGAACTTGTGCAGGTAGACTTGGAGCATCTGAAGGCCCAGGTGGACCAGGATGAACAGGCTCCTCAACAACTAATAGACGATTCAGTGCTGACTAAGAATCAAAGCTTTGAGATGTCCTCTGAAGGGTTAGCCGCACAGAGGAAGAACATATTTGGGGCTTTCCACGGATTTCGGGTGGTTACGGAAACCCAATCCATCAAATCTGATCTGAACATGAACAGTGATGATTGGAAATTTGTGTGCTTCAAGACCTCAATCAGAGACCACAGTACAGTCAAGACAAAGGTTTTCCCACATGGAAAGGTATTCACCTCTCACACACCAATTGGATCTTGTCGGTTCCTTTGGGTTCCTAATGAGCATTGAACAGATACTGAACAGTATATGGTCCTGTTTACACCTGGTATTAAGATGCGTTTTGAACGATCAGATCTTTACTAGACAAGGGAGACACAAACTTGTTCACACCTGGTGTTTTTATCCATCGCTTTTGCCCACTTTCAACCACGTCTGTTCTGATTACATTGAAGCAAGGTCTATGGACAAGGTGAATGTATCTAATGGACGAAATAAGCTTGCACAATTTACATATAAATGAGACCAGAGACAATGGAAAGAAATACTTTTGCAGCAGAGTGTGTGTTATAAATCAGGAATGGTGAGAGAACATCGTGTTTGGTACATTTTTCGTTTTCGAACCAAACTTTATGGGATCTTCTATGGGAACTATGGGATCTTCCCATAATGTTTATGCATTAGGTCAGTAGGCGGAGAGAAAACGGTCTTTTGTGGCTGTTTAAACACATTCGAATTGGTTTTCGACTACCTCTGGAAGTTGCCAAAAGTGGACAAGCTCAAAACGTTTTAGACCCCATTTTACACCTGCATTTAGCGTTGTCTACTTGTGATCTGATCGACCAAAACGTATCTTAATTTCAGGTCTAAACGGGACCTAAGATTCAAAGAGTATTCTATTACCAGCAGCCATATTACCCTGAAGCCCTAGACTAAGCAGGGCTGACCCTGGTTAGCACCTTGATGGGAGACCTTCTGGGAAAACCAGTTTGCTGCTGAAAGAAGTGTTTGTGAGGCCAGCAGGGGGCGCTCACCCGGTGGTTTGTGTGGGTCCTAACGCCCCAGTATAGTGACGGGGACACTATACTGTCAAAGAGCACCGTCCTTCATGTGAGACGTTAAACTGAGGTTCTGACTCTCTGTGGTCAGATGTCCTTCGGAAAATAGAGTAGGTGCGTAACCCCGATCTAAATTATTTCTTGTTCAAGAAGCTATTTCACTCAGATATACATATATCGCAACTTCTGTTTCATGCCGACTTTCAGAGTGTATGCTGGTTATGTGTAGTATGTACCTTTACGGACACAGTATATCCGCAATCTTAGAAGTTTACTTGGATGTTCTTTGACCTGCGACGTATTAGCAAAAACAATTTAACCACAAAGACGTTCTTAGTATCTACAGGTACAGCATTCACTGTTCAACTTCAACCTTATGGGATGCTGACTGGTTGCACACTCAAGTGTGTTCACTCGGAAGCCACCTTGGAAATGTTTTCTATTCATGACTCAAAATGGACGCTCCTCAACAGAGGAATAAAGCTGACATACCACACTGTTCATCAATGGACAATGGGATCAAATAATATATACATTTATTGAAGAAATATATCCAGTGGTGCAGGACTATGTATTGACAGTGTCTAGAATTTTACATTAGAAATAAATTATACTTTTTTTTTTTTTTTAAAGCTGTGTACCTCTAGCTGAACCAAACAGAAATCTCAAAATAATGACAAAAAATAATCCTTCTGTCTTCCATTGGCTAGCCAAACTGGTAGACCCGCCCCCAAACCAACACCATTGGTTGAGTCTAAACAGGCTGCTCAAACAAACTGCAATTCCATTTGGAACCATTAGTTGCAGTGTTGTGCACTCCACATTTAAATTCCTTAATCTATATTAGTCAACCTTTTTTTACACAGATTAAAATACAAAGATTCATCCAATGATAACAATTGATCATCAAAACAACAATGTAGTGAGAACTTCCAGATTAGACTTTTTACCACTACGCAAACACAATTGTGTCTAAACTCACTCTGTTTGCAAGGGTAGATTTTAGGTTAGCAAGTTAAGATGCTTTTTACACAGAGATAAGGTCACCCCTGCATTCCAGGACACATATATATATATTCTCACCACACAGTGTGACAGATAACCAATGTGCTTTTCAGCCCTTCACGGAAAAAGTCGCAAATGCCTTCACTGTTTTCCTATTGAGCAGCAGGGTTTGCGAAGACTGGAAAAGAACATAACAAAAACTGAAACACCATTTCCTCAAGGAAACATTCAAGAGATTCATAAACAGCATTAGTAACTGTATAATACTTGCTCTAGCATTAATATTACTGTTTATAAACTGTACGTCAAGGTTACATTCCTTCAAGAATTCTTACCGAATTACGCTCTTATTAGTATCGTATTAGGCTGTACCCTGGTTCCGCTACAGTTGAGTATAAAGGATCATCTGAAGGATGAAAAATACAACAAGAATTGGGAATTGTACAAACATACAGAAGAGAATGTATAAACACATCTCTATATACATATTTTCATACTTTCTGCAGTTGGTGGTGGAGGAGCTGCTGCTCTCCTGAAATATAACACAGCACGACATAAGATAATATAAAAAGCAAGAATTTACGTAAGAAATAAAGTGACTAACTAATCATTGAATGTCAGTTTGCAAGATCCATCTGTAGGGAGTGAGGGGTCACCTGCCAGGCGTTGGAAGTGAGCGAACTCCAGCCGATCTCTGATTATTGTAGAAATTCTCATATGGAACAGGTGCTGAGGAAAGAACAGTTTAACAAACATTACAGGGATAGTTCAAACATAAAATGTCATCAAGCTCATATTTGAGTGGAACGCTGCTCTTTACATTATTGCGGACCCAAACTTTTCAGAAGATATATGATAGCTTGATGTGAGGAAATTTAAATCCCCACCACCTCAAATCTCACTTGCACATGAGTATATTCAAACCAGGTTTTATCTTGTAATCAAACACAGTGCATCAAAACTGGAATATGTCATATCGTAAACTTTTATGTTCAAAATCATGTAGAAGTGAACTATGAAATGAACTATTTTATATTCAAATTAGAGCTAAAAGTTTACATAGCAAAATACAAAGTAAAAGAACAGTTACATTGGTAAAATGTCTGCTCAGTTTTGCGCGTTAAAGATCCATTGTCCTTTCAATAGTGTTGCAATCAGGGCTTGAATTTTATATATAACATAGGCCTACACTTTTCAATTGTAGTCTTTTAAAAAGACATCTGAAATGATAAAGTGCAATGTAGTGTTGTCAAAAATATAGATTTTTCGATACATATTGATACTGAAATAATCCAAATTCATCCAATACTCTTTTTCTGCAGAATAGATTCTTTTTCTACCAGCTGCACTTTCTCGCTTTCTTATCTCTCCGACAGCGAGTTGACACTTTTCCGCTGCGCATTGCGCTTAAACAGTCAAACACACACAAAAATGTCAAAATGCCGGTCTTGACAAGTTTTCATGTAAACACAGTGGCCCTCATTTATCATTGTTGCGTAGAAACGGGCGTATATTTTGGCGTAATATTATGCTTAATATATATATATATTTTTTGGATGATACGTTTTATGATAAACGACCGGCGCGGCGGCCGCTCAGCTGCAGGGGAACTGTAGGCGTTTCTCAATGTCAAGGAAGGATCCTCGGAAGCCGGAATTTCGAGGATGCTACGTCATCGACGTCCGTCGAAGGACTGTTCCAATGTCGAGGATCCTCAGAATTTCAACCAAGGACTGAGTCCTTCGTTCGGAAAATATCCCATACACAGGAAAGGATGCATATGTGTAGCCTTCGCGCTCTTAAATCACCCACAATCCTATGCGCAGCTTTGCTATCTTGTTCATCAAATAAAAAAATGTCGACCGTTAGCGGAGTCGGAGTGATAACGGCAATATGCTTTCAAATGTAAGCAAGTATAATTTCAGTTTAGCCATTTATTTAATGTTTGTTAAACTATTTAACATATCGGCTCAAATTTGCTGAGGGGATTTAAAGCTGTTCCCTTTTACTGGTGATTAACTTTTTAATTTTTACTTCATAGCCTTTTTTGTTGGTCACATATTTTACAATTGCATGTGTTTTAACAGCTAACGTTAGATCATGTTGCTATATGGACGTAACGTTAGTTCTGTTAACTCCGGTAATATAATCGTTTTTGAATGAATAAACTCCTTTTTAAATCAATATTTTGTGTCAAATTATTGATTTATTTGGTAGGTAGCCATATAAAAGTGGGAAAATGTATAGCGAGGCGGTTGTTACAGCGAATACAACCGGCTGATCAAGACCCCTCTGCTTTAGAGTTTGCGGGGTTGTATTCACTATAACAACCGCCTGGTTATACATTATCCCTTTATTTATTTATTTCTATGAGGACTGACAAGACAAAATAAGGACTGTCAAGTGTATTTAAACAGTGCAGTACACCAGCACAATGATTTTTGCAGCGCCGAAGCGGACCTTTCACTGATGTAATGACGCAATGACGTGCACTTGCTAGCCTGTTCCATTTACGTGTTCTCCGAACGCTAAAGAGGACCCTTGCCTAGCCTCTGAAGGAAATGACTTGGAAGGACCCGTCCTGCCAAGGAAGTATCCTTGACATTGAGAAACACCTTGTGTGTGCGTTTCAGACTAGGCCAAACCAATACCTTCAATCTTGAGGGGGGGTACGAGCGGCCCCTCTAACTTGGACTGATCCTCGTTTTTCCTGACATCCGATTGGCTCAAACTTAAGGCGCCGAAAAAAGGAGTTTGGAGTTTTGTATGAATGCAAGTTGCAACAGAGACGGACATTTAAAAATGCTGAAAAGAAGGAAAGAAGAGAAAGAAATGGGTGGGGCCGAAAAAATAAGAATGAAAAAGAAAAAAATGTTGGCACGAGAGGCAGCTAATAAATGCGCCAAATTAACAGACCTTTTCCGGGAAAAGGGTGCTGTGGCAGGAGGTGACGTTACAGATGAGGAAGGAGGACCCAGCAGCAGGACAGGTGCACAATTAGTGATGCGTTTATAGACTGAAATTATTTATATTTGCATTTAAATATAGGCATATATATTATATAAGGGATAATGTAGAGCGAGGCGGTTGTATTTGCTATAAAAACGATTGTATTAGTTTCGTGCCACGAATGCGGTCTGTTATTGCTTGATAACAGGCCGCGCGTTTTCATGGACACGCAGGATTCTAACCGAACTATTTTCAGGATTCTAACCGAACTATTCTGACAGAACTATTTTCTTTAGCGGAAGCAATACAATAGTTTTTAAAACAGTAAACTCGTTTTTAAATCAATATTGTGTGTCAAATTATTGATTTATTTGTAAGATAGCCATGAAATAAAAATGTGCTGTTATCATGTTATAGCCATGTGTCCCTTACATTTTAGATCTATAAACAGCAGTTTGCAGTGTGTCATCACACAGACAACATCATTCTATAAGCAAGTAATCTCTGTATGTATATTAGCTGTATGTATAATTGTACATACATATATTAGCTGTATGTATAATTGTGTCGAATTATTGATTTATTAGCCATGTAATAAAAATGTGCTGTTATTATGTGTTATAGCCATGCATCCCTCACATGTTTAGAGATATTATATATTATGAGAAGTTTGCAGTGTGTCATCACACACAGACAACATCCTTCTATAAGCAAGTAATCTCTGTATGTATATTAGCTGTTAAGGTCAGTGATGGAGAGGGACAGGTTGAGGATGACCCCTGCAGTCATATTGATGATGAAGGAGAGAAGGAGGAGGAGCAGGAGGAAGGAGAGCAGCAAGAGAAAGAAGAGCAGGAGGAGAAGAATGGAACCAGTATAAAAACAGTGACAGGTACAGGGGCAGTGTGCAGGGCTGGGTAGGCAATCATATTAGTAAAATAAATCAATCAGATATTTACATATAGGTTAAAATGCCAATAATTCCACATACTAGATAATAACCTGACTGAAGCACAGATTGAATTAGAAAATGTTTTATTCTTAGTCATATTTATAACTGAAGTTCTTCTCATGCATATGTAGCTGCACATCAGCAAGCAGAGGCAGGGTCCATCACAGGGGAAGCTAAGCTAGTTTTTGAGTATATGAGTATTTGTAACTATTTTATCACTCCAACTGACTGTGCACATGACATGCTGGTAGTTAGCAGTATTCTGTGACTTATGTGTTCGAGATTAGGTTTTGCTGACCTGGTTGTGTTCAGTGCAGTGGTGACTTGCTTATACAATCTGAGGAGGCAGGTGTCATCCTAAAGTTTCTTGAAGGTTTTCAGCATAATCTGATTCTCTTTATACCATAAAAACACTATTAGAATTAAAATAACTGCAAAAAATCCTTCTGCTCGTGCACCAAGGGTACTCGCGTAAAAGGCCTCTCCATCTTCAAGTCCCGGGCTGAATTTCAGTCCCAGTACGGCCCTGCTTACGCTCCTCTCACCGCCTGATTTATGAAGCTGTGCGTACCTTTGAAATCCAGGTGTACGCAATGCCTGCCCTTGATAAATCCCGCGGCCGAAAACGATCGTCATTAGAATAACACGCCCCTAAATATTCAAGTCTCCGCTCCCCCCACGCCCTCATTTTACGCCATGTACACACGGAAGACGGCAAAGAAGAGAAACTTCTCCGACGTGGAGCCGAAATTACCTATCACAATGCATTATTTTACAGCACGTCTTTTGAAATGAGCATTCAATTTCGAATCACGTCACATAATAGTGATGATGATATGATGTGAAGTACCATTCATTCACATTAATAATTGCATGACAATTTGTAATATCCTTTTTATTAGGCCTATATGATTTGTATTAATGACGCTTATTGTTATTTAGAAGAAGGATGTCGTTATTATTATTTGTATTATTATTATTATCATCATTTAAAAGAAGAAGAATGTAGCTATTTTTATTATTTTGTCAGTCTGAATTATTTTTTTGGTCAATGAAAGCCTTTCATTACCGAACCGTGTCCGTGCGCAGGGTAAAGTCCACAGGCTCGCAACTGAAGGAATACATATGCTTACAAATCAAACGCTTTTTTTAAAGTCACACAAATTAAACATTGAAGTCCACGTTGCACAAAAATAAACACCGACGTTTATAATTACTATGTTGTTGTTTTTTTGTTTTTTTTTACAGTGGGTCATAATCATATCTTTTCAGTGCGTAAAGTGGTGTTAGGAATTTTTCTCCGCATTTCCTCACTAACGTGCGTACACCACCTCCTGAGCTGGTGTAGGATTTGAGCGTGCCGTATGCCAACGTCCATATTGATAAATCTCAAAGTCACCGTGGTTTTGGGTGTACGCAAGGTGTACGCTGGCAATTTGGTGTACGCACTTTTGATAAATGAGGGCCAGTAAATTTTGTTTTCAGTGAATGTAAACAGTTGAGAAAAAAAACAAATGTGTAACAGTATAATGGATCTGTGCGTTAGGTTATAAAGTTACATCAGCCTAATATTCCTGCTGCCAAATTAATAGTAAAAATATTGTCAAAATTGTGGCCAGTGAAAATGCTGAGTGGCTAGTAATTTTGGAAAACACTAGCCATAGTTAAAACAATTAATATCAAGCCCTGGTTGTAATGTATGAAGTTCAATTCAAGAGAAAAGAACTTTCAAACCAAGCAGCTTTCTGTTGGTCAATGTGGTAAATTCACTCGAACCCAATGTGAAATCTGTGGTAATATCTTTGTCCCTCATGCATTTTTTTCTGTGGATTTTTGACTGTTTTAAAAAAAGAAAGACTCGCTGAGATTACCTGGCGGTTTGTCTCCGGTTCTTCTGAGGTTGACAAAATGCTCGATGTCTTCTTGAACGTTACATTGCTCCAGTGACTTCCTCACTTCTTCATGAATCTGCATAAAACAGAAGTGGACATGGTAAGGCTCTTTCCCTATGTGGGTCTTACCTGATGGTGCACGGCTCAGTTTACCTCGTCGCTGGTGACGCACTGCTGGGAGAGATGGTTGAGATGGGTCCACACTATGTTCCTCAGCATGTTGATCCTTTCCACTTCCTGTTTCTCAAAAAACTGCAGCAACATGCATATCAGATGTCAAAGTAGAAAGATCATAATTTTATGAAACAACCCCATAAAAACGTCTTTCCTTATTCACACTAGAACACCAGCCAGTAAGACACAACTTGTTAAAGCATGTTTGAATCCAGACTGTTTGTGGTTTGTGTCGTTCAATAGTTTTGAATTTCCGTTTGCCGTTTAATGGTTTTGCTGTGAAACATGAAATACCATTTACAACCAATTTTCAAGATCTCAGGCTTCGCATGACCTGACATGATCAGGTTTGTTTTGTCATCGATCAGCTGTGAAAAGCAGTCATCAGTGTTGGGGTGTGTGATGCAGGCCGGGGCGTAGCGCTCACCTCACATGCTTTGACATGCTCGTTCAGCCACTCCTCTCTCATCTTCCCCAGAACCAACACATTCTGACTGTATATCCTGTCTAATACGCAGTCAAACAAAGGGCATAATTAGAAATGAAATAGAACAGTTGTGTTGTGTGTAGGGCTGGGCAATACAACTAAATAAAGGCAATATTTGTAGGCCGTTTGATGATAATTGAATCATATCTTAATATATCAGATTCATTTTGACAAAATAGACAAGTAAAATACAAACAAAACTCATTATGTGTATCTTTAACTACACGTTGGCATACTACTAACAACTACTCAGTAACTAACTAGAGAAGCCTTAAGAACAACATAAAGTGTATGTGTTTGATTCACAAAAAAGAACTGTCTCATTAGACTTAATCATTCGGGAATCAGACTACACTCATTCATCCCGTACGTTTCACGCTGTATATTAAGTAGCAGTGCTCAAAATGACCAATTTTCAACCAATTTATCCGTCTGGCTGATATATCGGTATATTAGTCACTTGTCTTAATGCTCTTATATATACAAGCTGCAGAATTAGTCTAAAGTATAGACAGTATAATATATGGACTTAGTGTCTGCGATTTCACCTGTAGGTTTCTGAAGAGCATTTCTGAAGCCCAAAGTGGGCGGAGCCGGCCATCGCCATCTTGGCAGCACGTCATTTTTATATAAACGGGATTTTTATATGGGGGGGTCTATGGGATTGACTCTCTTTTGCAGTCTGTCTCTAGCGGCCAGTCGATGAATTGCAGTTTAAGTCGCCTCCGTGTTAGTTTCAAGAGAGAGACGGGAAGGCTTGCTGCTTGGTCTAAAGACACTAAAGAATAATTTTATCCCTTAAAACTCATCTACGACCACCAAAATTACATATTCAAAAGTCACTTCATGCCTTTAAATAGCTTGACTATCACTCTACACCCTTGTTGACATTTAGTATAAGCGGATCTATGAATCTGCTAATTAGCCCAGCCTCCACTCACAACAGCTCACAGAAAAATATCACCAGAAAAATATATCGGGATAGATAGAGAATAGTTAATGATATTCTAAAGCCTGCCGGCACGCTGTCGTGATTGGTTACAAGGTAGTTCGTGATGTCAGAAACACCAGCTTTTTCAAACTGCGTTTTTGAGACTGTCTTTGGTTCACTGCAGTTTTAAGGAAAAAATACTCAGGGCAATGGAGTTGGCTTATGAATTTGCACATGGTTTGTCTTAAAGCATATTACAAACACCACATAGACATTCAAACAACATTAAAAGCTGGATGTTCATTGAATAATGTAATTTTTTGTTTTCTGTTTAAATGCTCTTTTTTAACTATCAAGCTTTTTTAGTTTTATATTGCCAAAAGAATGATTCAAAACTAATATATTTCCCAGCCCTATTTAAAGAATATTATTAATAGCAAGTATATTATTAGTGCATCTTCTTACCGGCTTCCTCTGCTGTCTGCTTGGCTTGCTGTGTTTTGGTGTACAGCTTGAGAGAGTATGAGAGAATGACATCACTTATACAACAGTCTTTGTATGGTCATTCACATCTTAACAGCACATATTACAGACACTTCTCTCTTTTAGCTGTGCTCTAAAAACAGTAGTTTCCTATTGTGTCTATTTTCTCTCTGAACAGATGAAGACATATGGTGACTCGCTACACATGTTTTATAGCCATTCAAGAGTCTTGTCCTCAGGGTATCACAAATACTTCCAACACTGCCATGTTTTACGATGAGTAACAGTACTGTACATGCTCTGGCAACCATCTGTTCCCATGCGTGGCCTTGCTGGTTTGTTTTGAATTTCTGTCCTTACTCATTTGCCTTATCTGGAGATATGCTGAATCTATATTTGTTTTTCTCTCCATTTAGAGAAGAAAGTGTTCCATATTATGCTAATAACGTCATCTTACACACACCAAACAGAATTAGATCTTTTACAGTTTTGTATTATGCTTGTTTTCTGTTGACCACAAATAAGTATCATTACTTAATGCAATGCATCTGTGAAGTGTGAAAGCAACTTTAAAATGATATAACAGTGTGGTGAGCAGGACGGCCGAGGGACGTGAGAGAAAGTCGCGAGGCCGGTGGTGCGATTGCTAATGAGCAGCACCTGCGAGGCACACCGGTCTCGCATCTCTCACGAAGGAGCGGAGCCATAAAGGGGGAGCGACGGAGTGGATGATCGAGAGAGGAACAGGCCTGCTTTTATTTGTATTTTATATTTTATTTGGTAAGCCAGCAGTCGTCCGTGAGGGGCTGCTGGCCGGTATTTATGTTTTATTTTGGGTAGCCAGCAGTCGTCCGCGAGGGGCTGCTGGCAGGTAATTTGTTTGTTTATTTTATTTAAATAAAGTTTTATTTTATTATTATTATCCGGTTCCTGCCTCCTTCTTCCCTGAACTTTGTTACACTGGTGCCGAAAACCCGGGAAGAGGGAGGAACGCGCTGTCCGAGGGTCCTCGCCGCTGTGGGGAATCCGCGGTGCCATCGAGCATGGTGCGCGAGTCGCCGCCGCTCGCCGTGGGCCGGAGCCTGCTGCCGTCCGCCGCATAAGGGGAGGAGCAGGGAGCGGGGGACTCGCGGCCATGGACGCTCGAGGCGGGGCGCTGGGATGAGTTGCCGGTGGGACGCCCGAGCTCGCCGCCGACCGCCTGGAAAATGGAGGGGCGGCTGCCGTTCGGGAGGGAGAGGAGGAGTCACCGCCGCTTGCCGTGGGCCGGAGCCTGCTGCCATCCGCCAGTGAAGGGGAGGAGCAGGGAGCGGGGGACTCCTGCCGTCTGCCCAAGGCACCCGAGGAGCCGTCGCCGTCCACCGGGGGCGGGGGAGCGTCGAGGCGTTCACCGAGGGCCATCCAGCGTCGGCGCCGGGCACCGCGGAGGAGATCGCCCAGCTGGTGAGGGACAAGATGGCAGCGCGTTGTGGGAGCCGGACTATTTTTTTTTTTCCTCTCTCCCCTCTCTCGTGTCCGTCGCTCCTCAGGCTTAATTCCGTCTCCGTTTCCCTCGGCTCGTCGATCCATACCCCCCAGGGATCGCCGCCGCCGGGGGGGGATGTAGGCACAGTCTCGGGTGTACCCCCCGGCCTGTGAGGGGTGATGGGGGTATGTGGTGAGCAGGACGGCCGAGGGACGTGAGAGAAAGTCGCGAGGCCGGTGGTGCGATTGCTAATGAGCAGCACCTGCGAGGCACACCGGTCTCGCATCTCTCACGAAGGAGCGGAGCCATAAAGGGGGAGCGACGGAGTGGATGATCGAGAGAGGAACAGGCCTGCTTTTATTTGTATTTTATATTTTATTTGGTAAGCCAGCAGTCGTCCGTGAGGGGCTGCTGGCCGGTATTTATGTTTTATTTTGGGTAGCCAGCAGTCGTCCGCGAGGGGCTGCTGGCAGGTAATTTGTTTGTTTATTTTATTTAAATAAAGTTTTATTTTATTATTATTATCCGGTTCCTGCCTCCTTCTTCCCTGAACTTTGTTACAAACAGATTCAAGAAAGGAAAACAAATGAGAAGTCATGTGCAAATGTCACAATGAACGCAAGATAAGTCTGTCCACTTTGAGACGTAAGTCATTTATGATGTAGGATAAAAAGTCAGAGTGATTGCAACAACTTGCATTTTTATTCAATATTTTGTGCCAATTTCCCAGGAAGTGTCGAGTTTGTTCTCTTGAATACATGGGATGGAAACACTGTTTTAATTATTTTTATTCAAAATTCCAATATTGCAAGTTAAATTCACACCTTTAGATGGAAACACAACTATTGTCGCTACGTTTTGATTGGATTGTACTAGGTCGCTCTAGAATTGGCTGAAATATGTTCAAATCCTTTAATCCAGAGGAAGTTCCAGTCAGGTGTAATCACTGTACTGAATGTACAAAACTAAACAAGTCCTCTTTTATCTACAGAGAGTACTTTCTATTTCTATTTCTTTTTCCTGTTCTTTCTTTCACCCCCCCACACAGATCTTGTCACAGTGTCCTGTGAGTTTATCAGTTTCTCTACTAAAATAAATGACAAGTAGTGAGGTGGCTGTTGTGTAATTCACCCAGACTTAATCTCTCACGCACACAACAACCGCTCAAGTCTTCCGAAATGACAAGCAGGTTTAACTCATTCAAAATAGAAATTATGCTTGGGCTTTTTATGAACAAGATGCATAAGAAAGTAGTTCTACATACAAGAGGTATAAAAAACCCGTGAAATGTCTTGGTGTAACAATGTAAGAGCACCAACAGTCTAGATCAGGAAGTAAAACCATAGACTAAAAAAAAAACAAATAGTAAAACACTATTCATTCTCTCCATTGAGAAATTGATTTTTAATGATAACTTAACTAACGAATGATGATAACAAAACAACCAAAATATACCGAAAGAGCTCTTTTGCTCAGCCCACTCCAGTGAAGCACTGAGTGGTATTATATTTCTCCATCGTTTTTAATGTGATTATGCTGTTTGCAATGCATCATGGGATTGTAGTTCTTTCCATCACTAGAGCCGTTAAGTAGTCTTGTACCTTTGTATCTTGTAACACTTTTAACAAAGACTTTTTTTAAATCCCTATGGGAGAATGAACGGAAAAAATACGTCGAGAACCAACGCAACTGAAAAAGTGTGTGGGAACTGTTGCACTCTATACCTGTTCTAGTCTATGGGCCTATCTATAACATTCCATTGCAAAATGGAGTCTGTTTGTAAATTGGTTTTAGATATAGAAGTTTAATAGTTAACAGTCAAGGGTTTGAGTCAAGTCAATCTTTAACCAGAGGAATATCAATAAAGCGATGCATTGCTAACTCTGTAAAAAGTGCAAGTAAAAGCAAAATGCATGAAGCAAGGAAAATAAAAAAAATATGCACAACAGCAAAGAAAATGTAAATGAAAGCAATATTCTTGCAGAGGTCATTCAGGATAGGAAAAAACAGATGTACTCTCACTCTTCTACTTGCATACCTTTTCTTGCTGCTTGGAACTGCTAGTGGTGGCGTTTCTGTTCATGTTCTGCTCTGCTTCCTCTTTATCTCGACACTTTTGATCATAGGTCTTCTTTGCCTTAAAAATACCCATTGACATTTAACCAATGCATCTTATGTCTAACTATAATCTATAATCTAGATGATAGCCATAATCTTACGGACAAAATTGTGTTACACTTCATTTTAAGGTGACGTAGTTACATTGTACTTACTCTAGATAAATACTGAGTAATGTTAATTAACTACATGTACTTACTATAGAGTTACGATTAGGGTTTGGTTTAGGGTAAGGGTAAGTTACTTGCAATTATGCATCATTTATTGTTATTACTATAGTAAATACATGAAATAATGTGTAACTACGTTACCTTAAAATATAGTGTTACCCAAAACTGTCTATGCATCTTTATTATACTGTAAAAAGAAACACAATACTGCAATACCAACAAAAAGTGGACACATTTTTTCTGAATGCATGTTTCTCATGATCCCAAAAACATTGTAATATAGAGATTAAGGCAGAAAAATATACAGAATACACAAACGTAGATAATGACTAATCATGTAAACCTTCTAATATGGATCAGTTAGTGCAGAGAGTGAAGAAAAAGCAACAAATCTATTACTTCAATTTGTGTGATTTCACTATTTTGATGACTTTACTGTTATTCTAAATGTGAAAAATTGAAATAAAAAGTTTTTTTTTTAAAAGCACAATTATCTTAGATGGGTACACAAATAAATGTGTCCACAAAAGGGTCACACGTTTTCTCAGCTAAGAATTACGGATGCTTTATGGAAAACCTTGATGCTAGTAAAAGAACAGGAAACCACCCTGAATACAAGTTCAAGACTGTTTAAGTTTGAATAAGAAGCTGTCATTTTAATGAACAATGCCATTCAGCTCTGATCAGTTCCCATTTTGTATGACTAAAAGCAGGTGCACTTATTCACTTCCCTCCTGCCACTGCTTCACAAAATAAACTTCCCATAAAGGGCATAAGGTACCATATAAAAGTGAGGCTGAACCACCTATTATAGCAAAGCCCAGATAAATGGCAGAATATAGTCAGTACATAGTTCCTAAATACGCTTTGCTCTCTGATGTATGCTTACCTCAGCTGTTTTCTTATACTGAGCAACCTTCTGCTTATGAAGAGCGTCCATCTGCTGTTCTATCTGAAAAAAAAAATAATAATTTTCTTTCTTTAATTTAAAGGGACTCTTTTTAGGTAATTTGTTATCTAAAAACAATATTTTTATTCATAAATATGTCCTCAGTGGTGTACAAATACCTCTGCCAATTATCTGACTTCCTTGTAAACGAAGAATTTATTATCTTTATATACATGGGAGGGGTAAGTCCACAGAGACTTCCATGTCATTCCGCCATCTTGAAAAACCATAATAGCAGAGAGTATCAAAAAGGGCTAATGCTAGACGAGTTTCCACAACGCGTTTCGTTCAGAGACAGCGTCACGTGACTGAAGCAGCAGAATCAGACGAGCAGAGCGGTGAGAGGTGCTTGTTTAAACCATAGGCGGTCTAAACCCGGCAATTTTAAAAAGCTGAAACGGTCTTTGTCAGACACGTGGGTTTGTTTTGTGTGACGTCACCGCGGCGCCATTTTTGAGGTATCGCTACTGACTGTGAGCATTGAGGAGATTACGAGAGTAGAGATAACAAGTAAATAACTAGGAAAACTGCAGAAGCACAAGAAAACTGAGAAAATGCCGTACCGCAATAAACTCGATAAATATGGCAGGTACTGTTCCATAGATCCATATATAGATCCATATATGAGCTCAGCTGACTGCAGTAAGTTGGAGTGCTTATCCGCATTGCTTTCTCATGCTCATACTTGGGCATTATCAACTATCTTGTTGGTATGGTATAAGCGCATATAACGTTACCAGTGAACAATTTAAAAACTTTACATCTCTTAAAGCTCGCGGACATTTCACCAAGTTACTGTATCCTTCGGTAGGAATGTAAATAAATCCTGTAAAGTTAGTAACAGCAAAGATAGGTTTGCTGTATTGATAATGATGATAGTGTCATGTTAAGGACAGTTTATTTTGAAAAAATACAAAAAAAAAACAATTCTCCAACAACAGAATACCCCAGCATCGATACCTTACAAATGACGGCTACGCCCATAATGCACTTCGTTTATCACGAATGTGACGTCACCTGACAAAGATCGATTGCAATTTTATTTTCTATGGCGGAGGTTTTCGCTCATAGGCATGCCGAGCCACAGGGGAAGAAATACTCGTCGCCAAAGTACCAAATTGAACGAAAAAGGAAACAAGAGTACAAAAAAAAAAAACAAGTACAAAAATTAAGAGTAATTGTCAGGATAGCTAATGAAGGAGAAAGATTTCAAGAGACGCTGAAGTGCTTTCTCCTTAACACAGTCTCATCCCAAGACGTTATATAACTGACGTCTTGGGACGTCATATAACTGACGCCTTGGGACGTCTTTTGACCATATGTCAACATCCGCCGTTTTAGGGTTCCCTTTAACGTCAGTTACATGACGATCGTGGGACGTCATACAACTGACGCTTTAGGTTTAGGGGTAGGTTTAGGTCTGGGGTAGGGTTAGGATCCGATAACGTCATCTAACCGACGTTTAAGGGTACCCTAAAAAGGCGGATGTTGACGTATGGTCAAAAGACGTCCCAAGACGTCAGTTATATGACGTCTTGGGATGAGACTGCGCTGTTCTCCTCGACAGGCAAGGCAAGTCAATGTTACAGTCTTAATTACAGGCATTATTCTTTGCTTGGTTGTGTATTTTTTAATATATAGACAGTAGAAAATTTATAGTGAAAGGCTAAACAGACTATTTGATGAATAACGTAAGCAGCTATTGAGTGAAGTACAAGTAGAGAAGGCACTGAAAACAAGGTTTGTTCATTTACTTTCTGTAACCTAGAAATTCGATAACATTATATTTTAATAGAGCATATTGTTCTTGCAATGTTTGCGCATAGAAAAGAAAATACATGTTGAACATTTGAAGAAATCAGACCAATCATCAAAGGCAATCACAATCATGTTTTTAGTTTTATCTGTCAGATAGCCTACATCTTGTCTCTTTATACCTGACTACCATAAAATAAAGCAACTTTTTTTTCGTGAGCTTCCTCTTTTTCTTTGACTGAAAATATCTTTAGCCTACTGGGAGTCGAGAGCGTGGTAAAGCTCCTGCCTCACGATATGTCACAGGACATATTTATATCACATGTAGTCCTGTAACTAAGTTACCAAATAAACAGAAACAGACGCAACTGAAGAAGTGTGTCCTCTTTCTTTTGTGAAACCTAACAGTAATTTATTTCTCTGTGACTTATGTGACGAATAAAGAAGGCATAAATACTAATTACAAAAGTTCATGTTTTTCACAGTGAGTAATTCACACTGTAACATTTGTTTGTTCGCTGTGTCAAGTTGCAGTTTGTTTGAAATTACAAACCTGTTCACCTGAAGGAAAACTCGACGAAATGCTATTAGAAGACATCCTGTCACAGCTTTTTGGTACATAACGGCTACCGTAGATGCAACACGCATTTTAAAAAGCAAGGAGCTGGAGAGCACAATTTGTTTGAATGCAAAATACAATTTCACCGCTAGATGGGAGTAAATCTTGCACAGAGTACCTTTAACAGTAAGTGTAATTTTTTCCCTAGTTAAAATACTTTCTCCTATACTATAAGCAAGTTATTTGTAGGTTCATTCACCTAAAAAAGTGTAAACGTTCTCTAACTCTATCAAAACACTATAGGGTTTGTTTGACCAATGGCTGAGGGGAGTTTTTCACAGCATGAAATCTGCCCAGCCTACTGACATTTTGTCATTGCATCCGCTTCAAACATAATATTCATGATAACTTTCGTTAACTCTACAATAAGTAAATCCACTTCATCAGTCAAAGTTTTAGCTCAAAATACCCCACAGATTTTTTTTTTTTTTTTAGAATTTTAAAATTCTCCTTTTTTGAGGGTGAGCAAAAAAACACATTGTTTTTGTGTATGTCCCTTTAAATGCAAATGAGCTGCTGTTCCTGGTACAGAGGGTGGAGCTTACAGAGCTTGTGCTTTAGCAGCTTCGATTACCTCACACAAACACACACTGAAAATGTAAAAACCTTTTAGCCTTTAATGTTCAAACTGGAGTCGGAAAAAGATGGAGAGACTTGAGAAGAAGTGAGAACATATAGAATGCAACAATAGGACATTTCTGAATGGTTAGTTGATGAATTTATGTAGTTTATGTGGAGATCTATTTTCTAGTAATTGTTTAGCATATTCTGTCATGATAATCTATAAATCGCGTTCCCGGAGGCGGGGTATATATAATTTTTACGGATAGTGAAAGAAAATATCTACAGTGCCTTTGCTTTGAACTTTGAGTGTCATAACTTTGCAGATGTTGTTTATTACTTAAACAGCAACATTACACACTAACTAAAGTTAAAAAAGTGAAATCATAATCAAACACCACTTTAATTATTCTTCGACAGTGATGCCATCGAAATATGTATGTATATGTTACAAATTATAGTATTATGTTATAAACTACGTATAATTATTAATTAATTAATTATAATTATTCAATATTAGTTATTCCGTTAATAATATAAATATGTATAATAATAATGTATACAGAGCTACAACAAAAACGGCAAAATTCTAAAGATGGCTGCACGCATGTTTCTGCAGGGATGCAGGATAGGCCAATGAAGGCAATGGGTTTTTGGTTAAGTGCCTGAAATTAGGTCTGTGGTTAACACAAAATCTATATATATATATATATATAACCATGTATTACTCTATGACATAAAACACACCAGTAATACCCTCTTGTAATATATATATATATATATTTTTTTAAATGGGACTACAGAGGTTCTCGGGACATTAAACGTAACCAGGCCTCATAGGTACAGTTATCTACTCACTAGTCCACTTTCACAGCCTCGTTGCGCTTATAATCTCACTTTTGAAAATGACAGCCCCTTTTACACAAAGATTCCGGAAAATACACTGATAATGATTCCCGGCATTTGTCCCAGGATCGTTTGATTTTGGTTCATTCACACTGCCAGTGATTTTCTAGAATCTGTGCATGCAACACACCCCTTACAGCATTGACCCAGCAATGTTACTAGGTCTCCAGACATGTTTGCATTCACAAAGAGAGGGCACTCTAGCAATTATATGGCAATTTTCTTAGAATTAATAAAACGTGTTAGAATCATAAGATTTTATTGGTCAGAGAGCTTATTTTAATATTCCAAAAGCAAATGAAAAAGCCTAATTGGGTTTTTGTCGAGGGAACTAGGGTGATGCTAACAGCCAGTTTAGCCTACAAGAATACCTCATCACTCTCGGCGCATTATTGCTAATGTTTCATTTTAGTATAGTAGCAGACTGTTTGTTGGAGGCTACATACATTCTTCCCTGTATGCAGCTTTTGTTGTCCCAGCTCAGGATAGTCGAAATAGTAAAGTGTTCATGAAGAAGTGAATGTTCGTGTCGTGTCATCGGACAGTTAGTATTGTCATTTCCTTGCAACACCAGAGCAAATAGTCGCTTTTACACCTGGGTAAAAAAAACAACAACAGTGCCGAGAACTGGACACACCCATATTTTCAAGACGTCCTGCGGCAACTGAGCAACAACCAATGGGAATGCTAACGAATACATTTCTCCAGATATGAAAAGTCTTTCCTTTTAGTGACACTGATAATGCAGATATGGCACTCTTCACTTTTAATAAGTAAATTGAAATGAAATGCTGCTTGTACAACTTACCCTCTTTCGGGCCTCTTTCTGTTTCTCTCTGAAGTCTTCTAATTTTTTTGCTTCCTCCCTCATGGTTTGGGCCAAATGCAGATGAGACAAACTCACATTTTCTGTTTCTAAACATTCAATTTAAACATAAGGGAGGGTAACAGTACAATAAACTGCAATCATTACATTTTCCGACAGTATTTACTCACGTAATTTGAAAACGTCAAGTGATCGTTTCAGGGTGCTAAAAACAGACAAAACATAGATGAGTTAAAGACGTCCATTTTGTGCAATAAAACTATTGTAAAATTGCTGACATCAGTCACTTGTAAAGAACAGTTACACTTTTTTTTTATCACCCCATAGTAAGAGGAAAGGCACAAACCACAAACCAACTACAAACATGTGACCAACACAGAGACTGTTTGAAACGGTCTAACACAGTACATCAACATGGAACCGTTCAAATCTTTCTAAAGGGTTATCAATTGTATCTAACCAGAACAACACAATTACATTACAAATCACTGTCTCGTAAAGTACATTTAAGACATTTCTGGCAAAAAAAAAATCTAAGAATTTGACCACAAAACAAGATAACAACCTAAAAAGTGTAAGTTGTTGTGGGTAGTTGCTAGAAACTTGCTACGATGCTTTGGTGTGGTTGCTAGATTACTGTTTACTGACTCTAAAATGGCTCAGTTTCATCATCATATAGCCTTGTCTGATTGCTTATAATATTAATAGCACACTTCTTAACAAGAAACCTCATGGTTTGATGTCCGTAGCACAAATACTCCATTTAATACTTCAGAGTTACCGAGTTAACTTTACAATCCTTTCAATTGCACTTTGTAAAAACATACGGTAATCAAAATATTACCTGAAATTACTACACATTAGTACTTACTTCATTTCGCTGTGTCCACACACTTTCTTAGACAAACCAAGCAGATCCTTGGCGTATTTCTCTTCTATTGCAGCTCTGAAATGTATGTTTTTATATTTTAGATAAATGTTTTGTATGCCAGCCAAGAAGAAATACTAATATAATGAGTTTTAATCAGTCTGTTTGTTTGCCTAAAATCTATTTGTTAATATAATCAAATGTTGTACTCATTTTATGAAACATGAATATTGAGCATTTTACAGCAATAAGAAAGACTTTATGTTTCATCATTTCTATGGGAAACATTTCTACACTGCTTTGATATATTCTCCATCCTTGTTTAACATGCAGAAAACTGTAAGTAAATCAGTCATAGTTTATTGGTGAGATTTACATAATTCTGTGGCACTATCAAGACATTAATCAGTCCGACTAGGCAAATAAGATTGAAATTGGATCGCAAATAAACTGCAATTCTTTACAAATGCATGCATTTGTTTCGGGGCATCATTTTAAAAAGATTATTTTGGTTAATTTTGATTTCATGTTGAGTATTTGTTGCTGTAACTCTGAATGGTTAGTTCACCCAAATATTAAAGTTTTGTCATCATTTACTCACCCTCATGTTGTTCCAAACCTGTAGGAGTTTCTGCTGAACACAAAAGAAGATATTTTGAAAAATGTTGGAAACCAAACAGTTGACAGTAGCCAGTGACTTCAATTGTAAGAGAAACAATACTATGGAAGTCAACGGGAAACAGTTTGGTTACAGATATTCTTCAAAATATCTTCTTTTGTGTTCAGCAGAAGAAAAACGCATACAGGTTTGGAAGAACCTGAGGGCAAGGGCAAAATTTTTGAGTGAACTATCCCTTTAGCAGAGCATGCATGGGAACTTTTTTTAACTGTAAATCATTTTCACATGAACAACAGGAAATCTTGCAACAATGCTCGTCATGAGGCAGTCAAATTCCGTAATATTCGTGTGAATGGACTAAGAAGGTAGATGTATACGAGTGAGACCATCAAGAGCTTCAAGTGAAAGTGTCAGACAAAAAGTGTTGACTGCATGTGACTCCTCACCTGGCTTTCATGAAGTCCTCGATTTCTTTGCATGTCCTTTTGCCGTCATTCAAGTGCTGGATGATGGTGTCATATCCAGCTGTGCTGGTGATATCAGTGTTCTGCACACACAATTGAAGAATAAACAAAAAATACACAAAACACATTCAAGTAACTTTACAAAAGTCACTCTGAACACGCAAGCCATGAATCCACACAGAGCCACATAGTTTCACTAATTCCTCACTGTAGTCTTCAGAAACATGGTGGTTTGGACTGTTGACTATCATTAACTATGAGAGCCCATCAGTCTATGTAATTTATAAGTCTGAGGGGCAGACATAGCATCATACACAAAGCCACAGCCAACATGAAATATCTCCCAAAATAAGAGCTAAGAAAACAAAACTAAATGGCACTTTAGTGCTTTGCCAAATAAGGTTTCAAAGATCCCAAGCTGGAATAACGGGCAATAGGTGAACACGCAGTCATAATACAGTATATTTTATTTCCAATGTATTATTTTAGAAGATAATATCTATTTGGGTTGTTTTATGGACTATTTGGTTTCTCGGGATGTGCTGACCATATACTTCCCTTAAGGGAATTGACGTTGTTTCGATATGTGACAGATGAGCTTAAAATAAAGCGTTTGCTAAATAACCACATCAGATACATTGATTATTATTTAGTATTGTGCAAATAAAATATATTTTCACTATGTTTCACTAAAAATCGACCCCCAAAAATACAAAAACCCTTCACTTACCCAAAAATTATCCTTGAAATGTAGTTCTCTCATCACTTCGGCTGCTGTTTGCTCAGATAGAAAGTGACTGTGTTAAGTTCCGTATCAGGCTGTAATTCAGCAGTGACTGATTTCAGACCACGGAGATGGTCTGGTGCACATGGAGAGCATAACACACGCCTCAGGGTCCTAAACGCGCATCTTTCTCGTCTGTCCGTCTGTCCGGAGAGCGAAAGTTGCGGTGGGGCAGCAAACGGACTTTTCTTGGACTTTGTCATAGCCTAGTGGCCGAACAGTGGAGCTACAGTTCAAATCGCTTTCGGTGACTTAAATTTTCTTCAACTGAATACGGCATTTGCTTTAAAAACACCTCTAGTTTATGGATGGATGTGTTAAATAGTTCAGATGTTGATTTGCGATGATATTACAAGTTTCTTTTATATTTGTAAGTGAAGATAATGTTTGTTGAAGCAATGATGTATGTTGGACCTGCTCATTCCCAATATTAATTGAGTCTGTTGAGCTAATGAGCTTTATTAGATTTACTATGGTGTCTTAAGTTATATAGTTACATAACAGCATACTTATATGAGTTACAAACATTTTTAAAAATATATTTTGTGTTCAGAAGAAAGAAACTCATATAGGTTTGTATGTCTTTTCTGGCTATATTGGTTGCCACCCTTGATATCCCAAAAAAAAAAGCAAAAAAGAACATTTACATAGGCGGTCTGTTTTTCTCCTTTAGTTTTCGATTTGATAGATCTCCTCAATTTTTCATAACTGGCTATATTGTTAAGCACAGCTTGTTTCCAACGTCAATTGTTGCACATTAAAAATATAACATAAATATTTAAATTAAATAATACATTTTAAGACAACGTGTTTAAAAATATGCATTAATTAAAAATCACATCATGTAATTAGGATTCACTTGTAGAGTGAGGTTTATTTATTTATTTAGGTGTTTTGTTTTATTTTCGTGTAAATAAATGTATTTAGCTGAACTTGGAATTTGGGCTTTTTCTAAATTTGACATCTTGTAAATACAACTTGCATGATCAACTACAAACAAAAGACCTTACAGACCTAATAAAGAAAAAAAGAGAGTCACTCATAATTGAATGAAGATGACAAGCTTTAATTGAATCAGCTTCAGAGTCAACATCAGCATCTGTCTTGTCTGTATCTTTATAAATCACACCTGTCGACCATCACCATCTTCAGTGCCATCTAGTGACCCTCACCAGCCTAAGTGTCTTGAGGTAATCTTTACCGGAGCATGCTGGTCAAGGCTGCTGAGGTGGAATGTAGATCCGGCCTCTGCCCAGATCCGGCATTCGAAGAAGATCTTCGACAGCACCCTGAAGGACAAGGCAGCGGTGGAAGTAGCCCACATGGAGCTGAAGACGTGGCTATCAGAGTCCGGTCTTCCGGGGAAGTTCAAGGCATGGATATATCAGCATGGTATCCTGCCAAGACTCCTGTGGCCACTAATGATTCAAGTCCCATTATCCCTTGTGGAGGGCTTTGAACGCAATATCAGCCAATACCTGCGGAGATGGCTGGACCTGCCAAAGAGCCTGAGCAGCATTGCTCTTTATGGGCACAACAAGTTGCAGCTTCCGTTTACTGGCCTGACCGAGGAGTTCAAAGTCACCAGAGCCCGGTTGGGTCGCCCAGGTGAAGGTGTCTGAAGATCAACGACCCGAAACACCCTGTGACCCTGAGTCCTTCACTGAAGATGTTTCCAAGCTGCTCCTTTAAGGTGTTTCAAAATCCAGCCTCGATTTTGTTACTGTGTGGATAAGTAATGAAAAAGTAAGAAAACAGATCACGCTTGTTCACTCAACACATTCATTACCTGTATGACTAAATCTAATCTAATCTAAAAGTGCATGAGAAAATAACTTTTTAGACTTCCTAAAGGATGTAGGCTATAGCCAGAAAATATCACATTTACAAAAGCATTTCTTCATGTGGGCTTGCCTTACACCAATTTACGGGATTGTTAATTTCAATACTTGACATTTAAAACAAGACTGAAAAAAATAAGAAAGCTGATTTTAACAAAATGTATTAAGTTCTTTACTGGAAGTCAATCTTTGTCCAATTGTTAGTAGGCTATAGTCTGCTGTGTGCATATCGCATACTTACACACACTGATAAAAATCCAATCACCCCTATTTCAATGAAAGGATTGGCTTCCAGTCGACGAAATCGAATCCGTGAGTCCGAAGCCGCGAGTCGATAACAGAAAAGGGTCAAAACCGGGAATCCAAAACAGCCACAAATCCAAAATCAAGCGTCAAAAACAGAAGGGAGTCAAAAACCGAGAGTCAAAATGTGCCGCAAATCCAAAGCCGATTGTCAAAGTCCGAAAGAGAGTCCAAAACCGAAAACCATAACCGAATAAATCCAATAACTGTATAAAATCGCCAACCGCAACAAAACCACAAACCACATCTATCGCCAAAAACACCCAACAGAGAATCACCATCAACAAACCATGCATTCATTTAAATTACAGAAATTTAAATAATAACAATATTTAAACACAAACAATAAGGGTTTGACTTAGGTAGCATATTAACTAAACTTAATTTTTTTTGTTTGTCCAGAAAGCGTATTTTATTTCATTTTTATTACATTTATTTCTTCTTTTTGATGTAATTAAATTGTATTTACTTTTAAATTGCTGGACTTGATCAATATATAATTGGTAGGATTAGTGGGGGGTGTTACCTGCACCTAAAGATATTTTTTAATCTAGTTTTTTGTAATCCTTAAGGTGTCTAGAAAAGGAATTATGTTGTCCCATTTATGTAATTATGTGATTTTTCTATCATTTTTTGTGTCCGTGCTTGATTTCTGGCTGCGGAAAATGAAAACTTTAAATCTACACATCTGAACAATACACCCTACAAACTCAATCTACCCCATTTTCTCTTCGTCTTTTCATGAGGAATTGATACGTATGAGGATTGTCTTGATTAGATGATGTATAGTGCATAAAAACTCAAATAAACAGCAAAAATAAATAAATAAATAAATAAAAAAAAATAATAATGGTGACATTGGATCACTGGAACTCCTCCCCCATGGACCCTTCTGATATATGGTGTTTTGTTTTTTTTTACTTTTGTATTTTTACAGTCTTTAGGATGTCTAAGAAGCAAATATTGATGATCCCCACCTGAAATATCGTCACATACAACATGAGGTTGAGAAATGTTTTGGTTTTGAATATTTTTTCACCCCATTTTTGATTGAATTATCCCTTTAAGCAAGTTGCAGTCATTTGTTTTAAAAGTATGTCTCCTAACCCTGTGTCTCCTAACAAAAAATCTTCTCTGATAAAATATATATATTTTAAAGGAGTAGTTCACTTTTTTGTAAAAAAACTTTTGCTGATAATTTACTCACCCCCATGTCATCCAAGATATCTGTCATTCTTCAGTCAAAAAGAAAGACAGTTTCAGTGCAAACTGGAAACTGTTCAAAGGGCTTTAAACGATTTCAGACGATGAATAATGGTCTCATCAAGCGAAACGATCGCTTACAATTTTTATTTAAAACAGTCAATCCATTATAACAGCACCCATAATTCAACTCACATACAGGTCATAAGATTAAGGCCAGTAAGATTTTATTTGTTTTTAAAAGAAATCTCACCAAATGATAACCAGGACTGCATTTATTTGATCAAAAATACAGTGAAAACTGTCATCAATATGAGGTGCCCCTAGGGACCTCATATCATTACTCCAGTCTTCAGTGTCACATGATCCTTAAGAAATCACTCTAATATGATGCTTTAATGCTCAAGAAACATTATCACTGTTGAATTTTTCAATATTCTTTGATTAATAGGAAGTTCAAAATAACATTTATTTGAAATAGAAATCTTTTATAACATTGTACTTACTTTAGTTCTATTAATCCATCCTTGCAGAATAACCGTATTCATTTATTTTAAATGTTAAGTGTATAATTTGTCATTACTTGATCAGTTTTTCCTGTACCTTTATAGTTTTGTGAGAAATAAAACAAAATCCTTGGTGTGTGTATTTTCCTTATCTTTATTGAAAATGAAGGGCACAAATGAACACCCTATCTCTCTAAGAAAACCCCTTTAAAACCCCAGCCACAATACTCAAAAAAAAAAAAAAATACAATTAACTACTACTTCAAAAACACCTAATCTAAAATGTACATACAACAAAGTGTCCTGGTCCCCACACTTTCCTTGTAAAACATGTCACTCTACAAGGGGGAAAAACATAGTTACACATTCAGTGTTACTTCAAATTCATGACTAAAATCAGGTCTCTAGGCTATGACCTGTCCATTGACGGATTCAGGAAGGTTTAGATACTGTGTTTAGGCTTTGGAGGGCAGCAGATACAGAACTGTAGAGTGAAAATCGGTTTAAAAAAGCATCCATGTTTAACAGTGAACTGCAGGCAGGTCTTAGATTTTCTTCACGGCGTCGTCAATCTCACTTATCTGCTCTTTCAGTTGGTTCCACTGCTCTGGGTTCAGGGAAATACCTATAATACACACATCAAACAGAACTCTGGGAAATAAACAACTCGGATCACTTATACACAAAATGCATCTGAATACATATTGTTATATTTTTATGGCAAGTAAATAAAAAATAAAATAAAAATGTGTGTGCACGGATGAATTCTGTAAAAAATTAGAAGAATTGCGATTCATTTTGATTTCATGGTGACTTTAAAACCCACTGGTTAAAACGCATTGCTGAATCTCTACTGCCATATTGGAATCAATGAAGAATAGACACCTACCTTTCCTGCCCGGTTTCATTTCTCCTTCCTGGTCCATCCAGTATTCCCGGATATCAATCAGGACTTTTCCCTTGAAATCCCGAACACTGACATACCTCATCTTTCCTATCTTAAAAACAAAAAACAATATACATACAATGCTGTATCAAGTAAAGCTAAACATTTGTCATCATATTTCTGTTAGATCATTCACCTGGAACATGTTATCTTTTTCACTGCTGCTGCTTTTGGAGGCTGATGATACTTTCGAAGTTTCTCCACTTTTTTGTTTCTTTGATGGCTTCTCTGGTGCTGCCTGCTTCTTTCTCTTGGCCTGAAATACAGATTTTTACATTGTATTGCAAGCCATAATCAGGAACTTAGGATTTCACACGAAGATGGTACTTTTAATCATGGCCGAGCGTGAATTTCAGAATGACGCTTCGGTTAACAGTCAAACAGTAAGGCCCCGCCCACGCTACTGCGTTTTCGTTTAAAAACGGAGAATTAAAACGAATATGATCTCGGTCCACACCAGAGTTTTATCTTTGTATTAGAATTGATCTCCGTCCACTTTTAAACGACTGAAAACGCGGATCACGTGACCATTTACCAACACTGGGCATGCACGTGCCGGTGTAAACGGTGGCTGACGAATCATGGAAGGACACGTCATGACTGATGACACCCAATCACAGAGCCGAGCCTAAATAACATCTAAATAACATTTTTAAAAAAATGTAGATATCTTCTGTGGAAGTCTCAGGATCAAAAAATATTCATCCTGTCAACCAAATGCTATTTTGCATTATTTTTCAACTGAATTAATAAAAACCGACATGGTATTGCACCAGAAAAAACTCTGGTATTGGCTATTGTTATCCAATCTTTGCAATCTAGAATTAAAATGCCCATATTTAGAATAATGTAGACTCACTGTAGTCCGGACATCACGGTATTGCGGACAGACCGTATAGACCGGTATAGACCGTTTCCGCAAATTCTATAAATAGACACTTCATGGTCATTTCATCTTATGTCATCTTTGCCTCATCCTCTTTCGCTTACGACTAACCCAGCTTATTGTTGTTAAAATGTATGCGTTATATATTAGAAATGACTTTCAGCCGTCCGGAACACCACGAGTCAACATTAGATCATGGGAATGAAAATGATCCTAGCAACAGGGCTCCAGCCCAAGCTGTTCCTGGCCCCTATAATTCTAAAACCCAGTGTACGGTCATGCTTCTAATGTTCGACAACATGAAACTGGTGGTTATTCTCAAGAAATATCCAATTTTGCAGATGCAAATACTTTTGGATGCAATTTCCATTTCTTTCATTTAGGTGAAAGTGTAATGTGGGGATATTCGTGTCCATACCTTTGTGTCAACTTCACTGTCAGAGTCACTGTCTGAAGAAGAAGACAACACTTCCTTTGACTTAGGCATTCTGAAAAGGAAAAAACAATTTAAATGAAAAAACAAACCACGGTTGTGAAAGGCATATTTTGCACTAATACAGTCAGGGCTATATTGTTTGAAACTATTTTTGGAATACAAATATTCATAATCTAGGTGCAGGCAAATAACAATTTCATCATGGTTGCATCCTCGTGCTTTGCAATGACGTTTTCTAAGTCTACAAAAAAAAAAAAAAATTCCGAGGAAGCAATGCTTGCATTTTCGCACGTTGTGTTTTGAATGTATTAAATGAGTGGAAGAGAACCTGATTCAAGGGCGTTAGCTGCTAGCTGCTAGTCGTTTACAACTATTAGAAGAACAAACAAGGCCGAACAAATGAACGCGCAGCAAAATGGCCACTTGCCAATTAGTTTCCTTTCAATGAAAGAATCTGTTATTGCAACATGTCGGCTAATATTATAGTCGTGCCCGAAAATAATACTAAGCTGCACGTATCAAAATACTTACGTGATGTTGCAAGGTAAATGTAGGGCTAAAAAACACAGACTCAATTCAATGCGCGCGATCGTTCTGCGAAACCTGTGTGCTGTGCTGAGCGCGCGCTTCTTCTTCGTATTTTTTGGTGGGAAGGCGGTTAAAACCAGCTAAAAAGGTGCATTTACCGCCACCAACTGAACAGGAGTGTGAAGCGTCAAAAGAGCCTTCTCTCCTTGTCCCATTTCTTTTGCCACATCTTGTTTACAGCAGATTTTATTATTACTTTAACTTCAGTTTTACTCAGTGATACATGAATGTCTATTAGCCTACATTGCGTTTTAAAGATCTCTTTGCCAGCTCAGCTGATCCACCTCCTCATTATCCTCTATGTGCTGGAACCCATAAAAATGAAATACTTACTCCTATTCTGTATATTCTGTACAGGTTTTGTAGCACTTCATACAAAATATCCTGCCTTGACACTCACTTTCCACTATTTACAAATCACTAGGCTACATCCATTGGATGAACGTCTTCCACCCATTGAAGTGCCATTAAAATCCCAATAATTTCTGCAGTATATACTGAAACATGATCTGTAATTCTCTTTTCAATAGTATATTTAAAATGGGGAATGCAAACTGCTGGATGGATTCTTAGATCCATCCGTAAATATTTGAATTCCTGATTTAGATGCTGCTTCACAACTATATTCTTTGTTAAGAATATTTCATTTGTTTGCATCTTGTCTTTTAATATTAAATCTACATATGGTTTGGGGAAAAGCCATGGAGGTATTGATGGTATTACCACTGAGGGACTAATATTTATATTATTTATTATTATGTTCTGCATTGGCTTCTTTTTCTACATTCCACCCAAAACTATTTATTTCTCATTTTCCATACTCCCAGCACTTTTCAAGGACCTTTTTCACTGGATGGTTCTCATTGTGTCCCTTTATTGTACTCCAATATGACATTTTTAATTGTGATCTCCTAACATCAGCATTTCTGCCATTTCTACCTGCATTGGAAAAGCACGGACTTGCAAGATGTACCAGGAAGCGCCGTTAAAGAACTGGATTGTGGGAAGTGTAGTTTTGATTATCCATTAGCGTTATACTGCCATCCAAAACCAGTCCAGTAATTACATATTTGGTCAAAATTTACTTAAGGTTTGAAATGGGCTTCGTGAAATTTGTCTTTGTGTCTTAAGAGAACCGAGAGTGTCAAAATTGCAGTAACCTATTTCTTTATAGTGTCAGAATGGTAGGCCCCACATGCAGACTTTAAATAAATGCGTACAAATATATAAAATCATTAAGCTCTAATTTATGCGTAAAAGTCAGAGGCTGTTCTAATGTGTTCAAAGTTTAAATGTTAGAAAATAAATCTGCTCTCCAAAAGGAGTCATTTGAGGTGCCAAGATAAATGGGGACAACTCCACAGGAAGTCAGGACGTCACAATCAGTGGATAAGAGTGGGCTATATATTTCTTCTAAAATGATCATTTTTATCAAGCTTGTATATTTAAGTTCAGTAATTTCACTTAAGTGGCAATGAAGATTACCAATTAATTGTCATTTAAGTGAAATTACTGAACTTAAATATACAAGCTTCAGCTTGATAAAAATGGTCATTTTAGAAGAAAATTTCAAATGGCATTTAGAGGCTTTTGCATCTGAACTCTTCATATGTAAAACTTTGTGGCCATTTTGTTTACACTTTTTCCTGAAGCCTCAGGTATAGACATCTAATTGTATTGATCTTACAGCCTGGTACGTGTGAAGTGCCAAAATGGTCACCAGATCAGGAGATTGTATGGTAGGAGACAGTTGTGGTCTTTGATTGTATAACACCAGGTGACATGGCTATCTTTTAATTGCTTGATGTTTTTTGAAACAAACTGTAAATGCTAATGCATGGCAGTTACACATAGAGAGGATAGGGCTGGGCTGGTGCATGCCATGATGGAGAGCGATCCTCATTTTCAGTTTAGCAAATGGAGAACAAACATCTCTTCTGCTCGGAAATTCAAGGATCTGTTATTTTAACCAGCCAAAAAGACCTCCTAATTTCACCAATGGCCTACACTTCAAACAAAACACTGGATAATTTAACATCTTATTTAAAATACTATCAACTATTATTCACTATTTTATCCGCATTATATCTGTGTAAGGCAGTATTTAGTGGATTATTTAACATCTTATTTAAAATAATGTGAACTATTATTCAATAATTTATGTTTTATTTATCTGTGTAAGGCTTGTAGTATAATAATATACGTGATAATGAGCATCTTATTTAAAAAGTACAAACTGTGTAAAACCATATATTGTGTATTGCTTACTTGAATAGCATCTAGTACAAACTATTTTCACTATTTTATGTTTTAACTGTGTAAGACCACATTTTGTGGTATATTATATTAAAATACTTAATATAAAATATATTTCTAAAAAATTGGGGCGGGGGTGGGGGGTTGTGTAAATTACACACACCAGTGGCAGCCAATGTTGGGAGATTTATTATAATGCATTGTTACAGTTAAATAACAAATTAAAACGAATACATGGTAATGTGATACTCATTTGTAAACACTCTTATAGAGGTTATGAGGGCACCACACAGTCACTACATCATCTAGCATGTTAACCAGCGACACTGGAATAACTGTTTGCAAAATCTTAAAGTTTTTCCACCGACCAGTAACTCGCTCCACATGGATTCTCACCCGAGAGAGTTGTCTAGATGAGTCAACTTCCTGCGCAGAAAGTGGCTTTTTTCCTTTTGTGAATGTGAAATTAGGGATATGAAGGGTAACTTGCACCATAAGCTGCAAGCTCGTCTCCGATTAGAAATGCCCTGTCTGCTAAAACCTCATCTCTAGGCTACAAAAGTTCTAAGAAACCTGACTCTTTTGTGATCTGCTTGTCCAAAGTATGCATTTCTAATCAGAAAACTTTTTTTTCCCCAGTTGGAGAACCACTGAACAAAATCACACAGATGCAATCATAATGGTTTATTGATTCAAGAGAAATCAAACGGTTTCGGTTAATGATTGAGCTCCTCTGTTGCGGCAGTGAGTCATGACAGACTATAAAGTACATTTACGGATGGAGCCGTCACCACAGACGACCCACAGAAATCCCAGGTCAAAGCTCACATGCTTGTGGCCATTGGGACAGGCAAACGCCATCAAGACCCAGTCTGTGCCAGTGGGGTTGGATCGAGTGACACCAGTTCTGCAAAATAATAATTTCTTTAATGTAGCGTTTATATCAGAAAACAAATCACGTTTGTTCATTCAATGTTGTGATGAAGGTTCTAGTCACCTGTGGTGCAAGATCCCTCGATAGTTGACACCAAAGACCCTGCCATCAGTTGCTACTTCAATCATGGACAGACTTCCATCAATATCCTCAAAGCCGGACCCGGAACATGCATTACTAGACACATTCTGCAAGGGACACAAACTAGTCAACCATGATAAAGTCATAAAATTACTGCCTTTGTAGCTCCACACCAGTTGTTTCTTTATGTCAGGAGGAAAAAAAGGTGCACATGAGGTCTACTTAATTAAAAACCTGGTGTATTTAAACTTGAACTCATGCCCTTGTATTTAACATCACCTTCAAGATGAAGACTTTGTCAGCACTGTTCACTCCCCAACAGCTGTACGGGCCACAGCTGAAATACTTCAGTTTTCCATTAATTGACACCCAAGGAATAGCGCTGGGTGACCATTGGTTGTTATCATCCATATTTAAGCAGTATGTGTCATCATTCACATTGGTACCTGAAATGATCTGATCACCTCCAGCATCAACCTGTTTGAGATTGCCTATAAACAGTACAATCAACAGGTTGGATGAAAGATTAAATGACTGGTTAAGCATGTATTGAGTTCCGTAATTTCTCTGTTCACCTTGAATCTGCACAAAGCTGCCACCCTGCAACTTGAAGATTTTGTCAGCTGCATTCACCCCGACCATACCAGCAGGACCAACACTGATGTGCTTTAGAGACCTGCCAATCTTTCTGAAGGTATTATCAGTTAGGACAAACGCTTCATTTCGATTGTTGACTCCAACCACTGACCCAGACCCAGCGTCTATCTGCTTCAGGTTACCCCTTATCATGACACAGTTTAAAGCTGCGAACACATGGTCCAAAATTAGGACAGACACTTTCACAAAATTAATTACATACAGTTATAAAAAAACAAGGAAAATATATTTTAAAATGGATTTAATGCATGCATTTATGTTACCAAATCACATTACCCAGAGTGGGAAGGAACTGGCAGCTGACGAGTAGCAGGATGCTCTGAAAAACCTTCATTGCTCTGTTCGTAACCATAAATCATTTGTGAGCTCGATATGAGTAAGGATAAAACATAATGACTATTACAATAACATTAATTAAATGAAGACAACCTTCTCTTGATAGATCAGAATTCAGCAGTCAGCGTGGATTCTCGTCTTCTGCAATAGGCTAGAAGTAGCCTACTAAAATTTTGCATCCAATATTGGTAAATGCTGTTGAGGGGTCAGTATTAAATAGCCGAAATATGTTTGCTAATTAGACACACCAAGGCGCTGTTCCTTGGTGACTGATTATGCCCTCGTTTGTTTCTATAGTTACATATTGCTGTCACCTGCTAGGCACTGTCATACTCAGATTCTCAGAATCCTGCTATTGGGCTATGATTATGGGACGTGTTTCAACCGAACCAGGAAAGTAAATGGCTCATGGCAAGCCCTTTTAACATTTAAAAGTTAAGTTTGACTATCGGGAATTAACATTGCAGATATCAACAACGTGTTTTTCTTACTTGTCGTAATTACATTTTGGATAGTTGGAATTGTCATTCAAAATATCTGTAACGTAATTATGACTATAGTCAAAACGACAGATATATCTGTAAGTCATTTTTGACTTGGCAGAATGAAAGTTAAAGATTTCTCAAACATCATTTTGACTAGTGCAAATTATTGTGCATGACTTTGGATATCCATAAATACATTCCCTGTGCATAATCGATGCATAGCCTACCTACTCAATGAAGAAGTGGGTTAATTTGCTTGTTTATATGAATGGAAGAAGAAAAAATGAGTCATGTGCAGATTGTGTACAACTGAGCATTAAGAAATATTTTAGAAAATATTTAAGAAATATTAAACAAATATCAAATATTTACGAAAAATGTTGTAAAAAATTATACACCCATTGTGGCGATCAGGCAGAGGGCCATGAGAGAACGGCATGATGAGGCCAGTGGCAGGATTACTGATGAGTGACGCACTGGTCTCAAATCTCTCACAGAGGAGCGAAAACATTAAAGGAGCGACAACAATAAATGGTGAGAGAGGTTAGACTTGGACTTATGTTATGTTTCTGCTTTATTATGTGGCAGCAGTCGTCCGTGAGGTGCTGCTGTATTTACTTTTGTTTAGTATATTTGTTTACATTTTATTATTAAAAGTCTTTAAATATTCACTGTTTCCCACCACTTCCTTCCCACAACAACAAACTGTTACAGCCATTAAAGGAGAACTCCGGCGCAAAATGAACCTTTGGTCTAATTACACATTGTTACCTAGTCAACCGTTATCTGAGATTTGTTTTCATGATTGCCGAATGTAAATATAAAGCCTATAAAGCTAGAATATAGGGCATAGAGTTATGACAAATAAAAATCACTTGTTATTACCACTAACAAGGCTCAAAATAGCCCCACACTAACACGGTAGCATAATAAGGGTCTCTACATTCAAACCGAAGCATTGAGAACTTTGTCAGTGCCCATAATAAGAAGATATTTTATACACACAGTCAACTTCGCGAAAACAGGAAGAAGCCATCTTTGAAAAATAGTCTCTGTCGATTTTCGAACGCCGATCCAAGTGCGCTGAACTGTGCAGAAACTCGTATGGTCCGTTGTTTCCAGAAGAAACACAAACACGAACCATTTTCTTCTCTTCAATATGTACACGTATATAGCCTACTGTTCGCACTCACCTTATCACCTTATTCAAATCTCACCAGCTCACTTGGATCGGCGTTTGTAGATCGACCGGTAGAGACTATTTTTCAAGATGGCTTCTTCCTGTATTCGCGAAGTTGACTGTATGTATAAAATATCTTCTTGTCCTATGTTCCTTTGTCCTATGTTGTCCCATGTTCTTCTCGCTAAAGGACGTGAAAGATGCGCCCTCGTGGTAGATGCACTGGCCCACCCATGGCCCAAAGTGCTGCTGTATGCTTTTCCTCCCCTGTGCCTGATCATTCCCACACTGGCCAGGGCAAGAGAGCAGGGCCTGTCTTTCAGTCTGATAGCACCCAGATGGAATGGATAGAATGAGGCATTTATATAGCGCTTTCATATGTACTACTACACCCAAAGCACTTTACAATCAAATGAGGGGGTCTCTTCTCAACCATCAGTGTGCAGCATCCACAGTACAACACCGCGAGTGCACTTACCACACACCAGGTAAGGTGGAGATAAGGTTTTCCTTAAGCCTAATCCGGCCTAAAGGTATGTGATTTTATTGTTGGATTGTTGTTTTTATTTGTTTGTTTTATTTGTTTGTTTGCTCGAAGGGGGTCTCACCCTGGGTGTAATTCAAAGTAGAACCGCCACTGGCCCTGTGTCCTGCACAGCAAATTCTGGTTTTTGGAATAAACTCCCTGTTAGTTAAAATCAACTCGATCTGAGTGTACATGTGAGACCATCAATTAGACTCCAGCGCAGAGTTAAAATAACTCTCCTCTTAGTTGAATTTTTAACACTTTTTTCAGAGTTAAAATGGAGTTAAAATACTAATCCTACAGAGAGTAAATGTAACTCTAAAATTAATTATATGAACTCATTACCAGTGTTACCAGTTTAGTTTAACACTTCTTAGAGTTAACATTTATTTAACACAATATAATGTTTTGTGTGGAAATTACTACACTGGACACCATACTCTTGATTTACTGCCTTTATTTGAGCAAATCCATTTGGTTCAGACTTGAAGAGGAGTAACCTTCAACCGCTTGCTGCAGGACAGTCGTCTGAAGATCACAAAAACAACAGCATGAGGCATAATATAATCTAGCACCATTCATTGAGAATGCAAAAATATATAAGCTGTAAATCACGCACATCGTGGGTCACCACTAATATAGCCTAACGTTACATAGCTGTTACAATTCATTGATGCATCAATTTCACGGAAAAACACTCATTTTCAGAAACACGGTGAATGGAAAGACGGGATTCTGTTAAATAAAATATCTCCATTTGGAGTAGACTTTGAGCTTTGTAACCTTGCATTTGTTATGCTCAAACAGCAACATACAAACCAACTAACGACGTTAAAAACGGGGGAACCAAGGACCCCTTTAAAGGTCACCCCACGTAGTTCACGTAGTGTAACTGTGCAGCGCTTCTGTGTTACGTGACGTAACTAGAAGTGCTGCGCAGTTACACTACGTGAACTAACTCGAGGCCCACAGAGAAGGAAATGAATAGTTGAATAAAGTTGTTATTTATTTTTTTATTTTTTTTTTTTGTGCACAAAAAGTATTCTTGTTGTTTGATAAACTTAAGATTGCGCGACTGTAGTCACTTGGACTATTTTAACGATGTCTCTAACTTTTCTGGTCTTACAAGTTTCAATCCCTTAGAAGCCGGAGTGATCCAGCTAAAATATCTTAATTTGTGTTCAACATGAGGGCGAGTTATTACTGACAGAATTTTCATTTTGGGGTGAACTATCCCTTTAAGTACATTTTTTACTTTTACTCAAGTATGTTTTTGACCAGATACTTGATTAAAATTTCACTGAGTATATACTTTCACTTAAGTATAATTTTTTACTTGAATAACTTTTCACACCCCTGGTTAATTTGGTTAATAGCCTAAAATAAGGGGAAATACAGCCTCTATCTTTATGTAACCCAGTGATTACAAATATAAATGAGAAAAAGGAAAAATAATAGTAAGCCAAATGGGTTATTAAATAAAAGAGAAAAGGACTAATTGAAGGACTATTTCAAATTGGAGCAAATTTAAACATTCATAAATTATCCAAAGGTGTTTTTGTTTTGTTTTGTTTTGTTTTTCTTATGTTGTGCATGCAAGGATTGTATATAGTTGAATGTTATGTGTTGCCTTTAAGAGAAAGTAGAGTTCGCTGAAGTGTTACATTCAACGTATCACTGGAGTGTGGACAGTTGTTTCCTTCTTTAATTCAGAGACACTACTGAAATTACACTACTGAATTTATTGTTATTTGAACTGTGTGTGTACCCATATTGACAGTTGATTAGTGTTGTCATTGCTTGCTTAACTGTTTATTACGCTGTGCTGTTTTATTTTAAAGATAAGGGTTTTATTGTGTTGTTTTTGATTTTGTGAGTTCAACTGCTGAATTGAATATCACATTAAATTTAAAGTTCCTGAGTATGAAAAATGGTTTAATTAAACCAGTGTAGATTTCAATTAGAAACCTAAAATTAGTTCAAATAAATAATTAGAACACTAAAAGATCAATAGGAAATATATTTGATATTAAATTAGAGGATAAGATTGGGGGGTTAAAAATAAATAAATAAGGGAATAAATAACTCTTAGGAAACAAAAAGAAAACTCAGAAACAAGTTTATTTATTCTTTCCTTTATTTGACAATCTGTGATTTCATTGACATTTCATTGATTTTCTATTTTGCTGTTTTTTTTAAGAGAAACAATTACAATTGTTAATTTAATTTATCATCTTTTTCCCTACCATAAAAAAATGTTCAACCTAATTTGAATTACTCTTGTGGTCTGTCTGTTCATTCAATCTCTCACTGCTGCTGCTCCCTTGGAACCTAGATTACTGATCCACGTTTCTTTTTCTTTATGACTCCCCTGGATGCCCATAAACCCATAGTGTCCTGGTGACCTGAGGGGGGCGCTACATATACATCAAACACACAACTTGTTTGGGTGTGATATTTTAGAGATGAGGAAAGTCAATATAGACATTTTAACCTGTCAAGTGTTGTGAAGTTTTTCTTCTAAAGTGTTGGAAACTCTAACACAGTCTCATCCCAAGAAGTCATAACTGACGTCTTGGGACGTCTTTTGACCATACGTCAACATCCGCCTTTTTAGGGTACCCTTAAACGTCGGTTAGTTGACGATCCTGGGCCGTCATACAACTGACGCTTTAACTTTAACGTCGGTAGGTGACGGGGTTTTGCCAACCCATTTTCACCCCAAGGCGTCACCTTTGACCAGGTAGGGTGGAAACTCAGAAGCCAAGACCAGAAGACTCGGTTGTATCTTTTTAAGCAGGATTCTTTATTGCTGTTGCATCATTGTAGTCTGCTTTGTCCAAAAATCTTAGCCAAGTCTGACTTAAGCCAGTACGTTGTAGACAGTTCAGGGACGTCAGGGTAGGCAGGGTAGGTGCCTCGCCAAATGAAATGTTGACATTACATTTATCAATTCCAAGAGCTTTATTAATTCACCACATTATTAATGGCATTTATTTTATTCCAAATATTAATTTTTGTAAC